CTTACTTGCCATGCTCAATCCCATCTTAACCGATCCATGGCAGTCTTTGACCACTTGGTTCCAAAATGACAATCCTACGCCATTTCACGTGGTGCATGGGATGACATTTTGGGATTATGGGAACCAGGACCCGACCCTTGCACATTTTTTCAATGACGCCATGGCTAGCGATGCCCGGTTGATCTCAAGCTTGGTGATTGATGAGTGCAAGAGGGTGTTTCAAGGAGTGGATTCGTTGGTTGACATCGGCGGTGGGACAGGAACCGTGGCCAAGTCCATTGCTGATGCATTCCCTCATATGAAATGCACTGTACTTACTCTCCCTCATGTAGTTGCTGACCTAAAAGGGAGTAAGAACTTGGAATATGTTGCAGGGGACATGTTTGACGCTGTTCCTGCGGCCGATGCTATTTTTTTTATGGTAAATCATCTCATCCTTAGTGATATTATATTGTTAAATACAGATTTCCATTTGTAGATCAATACAATAAATGTGAAGCAGAGTATGCTTTCCAATTGGACTTTAAAGTATAAATCAAATTGGGTCCATAAGTAATTTGATAATTGTCTTAGTATTGATGATTTTGTTTGGTGATTTTGCATGACAAACAGTGGATATTGCATGACTGGAGTGATGAAGAATGCGTGAAAATACTTGAGCGATGTAAAGAGGCAATTACAAGAGAGGGCAAGAAAGGCAAGGTGATTATCGTAGATATGACGGTGGAGAACAAGAATACAGATAAGGAATCTGGGGAAACACAACTTTTCTTCGATATGCTGATGATGGTTATGACTACAGGAAAAGAAAGGAATAAGAAAGAATGGGCTAAGCTCTTTTCAGACGCAGGTTTCAGCCACTGTAAGATTACTCCATGTTTGGGTTTAAGGTCTCTCATTGAGGTTTATCCTTGATTTATAATGAAGCACACCTGCTTAATATGTTATGTTGGCAGCATGTGGTGTATTGTATAATATTGTTCAGCGAAATTAATGTTACCTTGTTTATTTAGTATTGTATTAAATGCAAGTTTGTCAATTTGGGAGCTGCTCTAGAAATTCTTGGGAACATGTTGGAGTTAATTCTTGTTATTTGGGGACTTTTATCTCTTTGCTTAGAACCAGTAATCAACACGACCTCTTCTAACTATCTAGTTCTCTCTTCGTCATTTGGCAACTGTTCAGATTTCTCAAACTCCTTTTCTATATTAGGCAAAACCTCATTTTTGATCCCTGTGGTTTATCACTTTCACTACTAAAGTCTTGTGGTTTCAATTTGATCATTTTCGGCCATGTGGTGCAATTCAAGAACATTCTCCAATTTTGTTGTCAAATTAGAGTAATTGCGGTTACTTGTTGAGGAGCATCTCGGTCCAAAACAAGAAAGATAAAAAAAAGAAAAAGGAAAAAGGAAAGAAAGAGAAGGGAGAGAGAAATCCTCCGCACCACCACCCTCCCCAACCCAACACAAATCTGCCACCGCCATCTCTCTGCCCAAAGTAGAAGCCACAACCACCCTTCCAGAAGCCCAATGGGAACTTACCATTAGATTCCACTCCCCCAACAACCTTCACATCTCCATTTTCTTCTCTCTTTTCAATTCCTCTCTAAACTTTCCTTTTTTTCTTAATTTTCTTTTCGTTCTGCAATTTTCTCAGGAAAGTTATAGAGAAACAACAACCACCCAATTTCTATTTTCTATTGATTTGTTCGGTGAAATTTCACGTGCTTGGCGAATTTTATTTGTTTGGTAAATTAAATTTTTTTTTTTTTTGATAAATCTCAGTTCTTTGTTCATATCACAGTACAACAAATATTAGTTTTGGGGGATTTTCATGGGTTTGGCAAATTCCAAGTTTGTGTCACCGCAAATTTTGGATTCTCTAATGTTATGGAAGGTTGTAATATTTTGCAATGGTTGTTGTTCAATAATTTTAAATGTGGTGGGGGAGGAGGAGGAGGGTTGGTGGTGGTCGTGATGAGAGAGGTGGCTAGGCAACTTGGTGGGAAGGTGGGAATGGGGAGGGAAATGCCCCTCCCTTTCTTCTATTTCCAGCATCTGTTTCTGGACCGAAATTCCCCTTAACAAGTAACGGTAGTTACTCGAGTTTGACACAAATTGGAGACGTTCATGAATTGCTTAAATTCAAAGCCACAAGGGTAATAATGATCAAATTGAAACAACATGGACCTTAGTGGTAAAAGTGATAAACCACATAGACCCAACAAAGTAACTTTTTGCCTAGTTATTAATGTTATTTTTGATTAATTATATCGTAAAATGAAACCTTCGACAACATTAGACGACGGTTTTATTAAAACTCAGACGTTTAACTAATAAAAGATGACACAAACACAAAAGAACAGACGTTTAAAGAATATTACATGTCAATATTCACAAAGGAATAGCCGTACAGATAATTATCCACGTCCCTAATTGAAGGAAAAAAGATTTGTATAAACTAGAAACCGTCGTGGTTAACATACCCTACGTTAACTAAATAAACAAACCGACGTTTAACTTGTAAAAAACGACGTATATACAAAAGAGCAGCCATTTAAATCATATTACATGTCATTAATCACACAAGCACGAACATAAAATGGTGTAACCACGACATACAGGTGGAAAAACGTCGCTTATATGATTATCCACGTCGGACTGTAGAGAAAAAGGCCTTTTTAAAAATATTCCACGTTCATCTCTTAAGAGAATCGTCGTTTGACTTATACAAAGAAGTCCCTTGGACAGAGTTAGACGACTCTTTTTCTACAAAGCAGACGTCTGAATATTTTAAAATGACACAATATTACTGAATACCGCCGTAAAAAGAAATGACATGGATTATATTTTGAACGTCGGTTTTTGTAAAATAGAGGACGTGGTTAATTCTTCACTACGTCACGAGGATTCAATCGTATGATGTTGTAATTCTCTACCATGGTGGTTTCTAATACATATTGACGTGGTTGGGTTTTTAAAAGTCGCTTGTGTTACCCTCCTTGACGTATGTATTCTTTGAGACTTCAGATGTTTTAGAATAACCGACGTGTAGAAAATCTATCACGGTGTTGGGCTGCGCAAATCTCACGGCCTGGTGGTTCGGGGCGAGGGGATGTGCATTAACACGTGACGTCCTTCTTTTGGATGCGATGCGTTTGTGCGCGGGCGTGCCAGCACGGTCTACCGTGCGTTGAGAGGGTGATGTGTTTGGGTGAATGGTTAAGTGGTGCGCCTATTTGAGTTCGACTCCTAATCAAACGATTGTGGCCGAGAGAAGAACTGATCTCGGCCGTCAGGTTCACGGCTTGAGCTACAAGGCCGTTTGGTGGTGGTGTTGATGGTGGGTTTTGGGCGGTGCTCCGGCGCGTTGCTCAGAGAGCGACGGTCGTATGATATATGGGGTGGATGAAAAAGTAACAGAGATGGTGCTCCGGCGCCTTGAAGATCAAGGGTTGTATGATATATCGATGAATGGATTTTCCTTACAATCTATCACTACTCCTAGGAAAACAAGTAAAGGTATTGAAAGTGCATTACAGGAAATGAAAGACAGGAAAATATAATTTACTCCGTGGGAGGCTTTTGGTTTGGCGTTTGAACCCTTGGAATGTAGTTTGAGCTTGGTACTTATAGAAGGAGCTCTTGGAGGAGTAATCGAGGCTGAAAATCTACATGATGGGCCTTATTAGAGCAAGTGGGTGGTCAAATCGGCATTTGGGATCGTGAAGCATGGTGGTGTGACCCCATAAATCCCGGCCGCCGCCCTGATCGTAGGTCCTGCCTTTGGCCGTGGGAACGCATTTAATGCTTTGTTCTGATGGTTGGTGAACTAACCCTTCAAGTGGTAAGGACGTTTGCGCCTAAACACCCTGATTTCCATCACCTTGACTCCAATCACTTCCCCCTTTTCTTGGCTCATTAATGCCCTTACGTGAATCATGGGTTTTCTACTGTGATCAGAGGCACTACTTCATTAAATGGAGCGTAGGACCCTGACGCCACGTGGCGACGTTGCTCGACCTTTTACCTCGGCCATTGGTTTGAGGAGTAATCGCTCTATTCGACCTCGGCCTTAAATGCCGAGGCCGTGGGAGTTCCCTCCTTATCTTGGTTGCGAAAAACGAACGCCACCCTGCCACTTTTGTCTTTCTTGGGTAGGTGCTAAGGTTGAGAGAGAGTTCCCTCGGTCGGCCCTCGTGGCCGAGATTTATTAGGCACAAACACACGGCAGTTAATAGAACAGAGATGTCTTTATTTCTTCCTTAGACGACGGTAGATTTTAATCGTGGAAGTAGTGTTTTACAAATTCGTCGGTTGGAGTACTGCAACGTCGTGTTATAGTGAAATATACGTCGTGCGTTGTTTTGTAGGCCGTCATTGATGTTTATTACACCCGCTTGTGATTTAATTTTTAACAAACCGACGTGTTTTCGTTTTCAGATGACGATTTTTATTTCTTTATGGTCTTTTGCATTTTCTTTCCACAACGTTGATTTTATTTTAGACGTCTGTTTTTCCAGGTTTTTAACTGGACCGTCGTATTTCCCACCTTTAATCCAGTATTTTAAATTTTTGATTTGTCGTGCCCAAAACTTGCATGATGAAAATGTGATCAGAATTAAAATGATATATAGAGCTATTAATTAATGTCATACAATTAACTGCATAACTATAATGTCATACATTACAACAATCAATCAATCCATATATCTTCACACCCATCTCTAATATTCTCACTCCCAAACTCACCCACTAGGTCATCAAATGTGTCAACATTTGGTATCCCTCTAGTAAATGGCTCACACTCAATTCTAATATCACCTAGCACATCATCACCAATAACATCATTATATTCTCTTTTAGGCATTGATAACACTACCGGCCAACCACGATGCATTGGGTCGTCAACATAAAATACTTGTTTGACTTGAGAAGCCATAACAAATTGGTCATTCCTATGTCCAATTTTACTCATATCTACAAGGGTAAATCCAAGTTCGTTGACTACAAGGCCCGAAGTGTTATCTATCCAATCACACCTCAAGACTGGGATTCTAAACTTTTGGTAGTCAAGGTCCCAAATTTCTTGAATAACCCCATAAAAACCCATATTGGAGACAATAGGGTTTTTATCCTTGGCACTAGCAACTTGCATAGTATGTGCAAGTAAATAAACTCCACTATTTTGGACAGTTCGCACATCATCTTGTGCCTTGGGGTTAAATTTAACACCATGAATAAGATAGCTCCTATATGATGGCATTGCCATGCTTGGACTAGCTGCTAGCCACCTCAAATTTTCTGATACGCCACCATTATTGTCTTCCCCATTAAGTTCACTTTGGACCTGCAAATTAAACATATATCTTAATTCAATCTAACATATAGAAAGAAAGAAAATTAAAAGTTGAATATGTCATTCAATAAAATGTATACCTTAAAGCGTAGCCATTGAATGAAAGTGCTATTGTGCTTATCTTGTAGCCACTTTGTTCTCTTTCTAAATTTTGGATAAGTGGCCTTGATGTGGATCATATGTTGTTCCCTACAATTGAGAAGAAAAAATCAAGCATTACAGTCCCTTGTATATAAGATAAACATAAGGAATAATAATATTTAAAATGGCTACATATGAAAAATTACTCATATGTACTCGATATAAGGTAGGACTTCCTCCGTATTCTCCAAGACATATAGATGTGCCTGGTTCAACAAGTCCAGATCAACTAAGCTCTCTGTGCAACCTGATAATGGCTTTGAAACTCCCATCTTCTGGCTTGAAGGCACTCCAACCGTACTAACATCAGATAAATGCTCGGTACAAAACTCTACAGCTTCTTCAGCTATATACTGCTCAGTAATTCTGTAAAACAAACATCACTCATCCCATGTTTTGCTTCAAGAAGGCACTCCAACCGTATTT